CACTCTGATGACGTGTTGAGATGGTAATTTGGGTCTGCTACGACCGTTGCAACGATGCCAGTCTCAGGGATGGCGAACAAGCAACAATGGTGCAAGATTGGCGATGTGATGAGATGGACGTATGTTTACGCGCTGCAGCAGCTGCTTCTTCGAGGTAACTGCAGCAGCAGACACGAATATTTGACCGAGTCTTCTCTTGCAGCCGTGCCGATAAGCAGATGTCAGAACTGCAGCTTCCCGAATAGAGCATCACATTGCGCCAGCTTCTGTGCCTCTCTCCCTCCAGACCCGTCGACAACGGCTTTGGTCGCAAGCAGCCCTTGTCCAGCCTTCCATGTCGACTAGGCTCAACTCGGCGTAATTGGGGAGGAATGCAGATCACGCTCCATTCCCGACACGTTTCGGGAGTCAATATCGGCACTCCTAGTCGGCAACCAGAGCAGGAGCTTAGATTACAGGCCGCGGACTTTAGATTCGGGCGTGCATCTGTACGGGAGAGAAAACCACACCGGGCACAAGTTGCAGCTGCCGTTCGTGCGTGCGTGCGTGGGGCGGATGCGAACTAGGTAGCTGGACCTTGTCGAGCATGGGGTTTGAGCGCCGCATCATATATCAGATGCAAGACCTCCGGAGAGCCGATTGGAAGATGTCGCGAATGGTTGAGTTGGTTTTCCCATGAACGCGCGCGGCTTCATCCGCTATTGCGACGTGCCAACCTTGGAGTCGTGGTGATGGAACTCAAATTGGGGTCCGGCGGAGTCTAGTCGACGTCTAGTCGTCCGTGATTGTGAATAGGCTGGGACACCACGTTGCTGTCCCCCTACCCCTCTTGCTTTCGACAGGTCGACCCCCAACTTCCATTTCTCCAACTTTGCTTTTGGTGTTCGGATGCTGTGGCCAGCTGATCTTTGGCTTGTTGAGGCGTTTTGCTGACTTCTGCTTGCAGTGAAGACTGCTCTGAAATCCGGGATATCCGCTTCTCGGAAAGTCCGCCAAAACATGTTCATCCCTGAATCCGCAACAGGTCAGTGGATTGTTGAGTATTCCGCTAGCTCGGAATGATCGGTGATATAAGAAGACGCCAACTTCCTCATCGCGACGGCGTGCTTTCCCCATCGGATCTGGATTCATCGACTATCGGAAAGGGGGTTCGGAAGTCCTCTCTGTGCGACTTGGCCTACCGGGGTTGGTGCTCTGCGCCGTACGGAAAGCGTCCACGGCTTGTGTCAACGGGTTCCGAGGTTACAAGGCAGACCATGAGCGTCTTCTCTTGGCAAATGAAATGCCTCATCTTGTTTCGCGGGGGTGTTAATTTTTTGGCGCCATCCAAGTGAACAATTGGTGTTGTCTATGGCAGATTCGGCGAACTCTTGCCCAAACGGTCATTGACCAGGCAAGGCAATGTCGTTCACCAAGACGGATGATTGCCCACGGTCGAGACCTCGTCAAGCTAGGTAGGTATAGCATCCGATGGGGGAGCTGATCCGGGGAAGAAAAGGGACGCATCCGAAGCCCAGAACATGGAGAAGCGGGAAAAGCTAAGCTTAACGTCGATAGCGTCGAATCCCGCCAGATTGGGCCGTGGCTGTACTCCGTACATAGTCCCACGCGAGATGGCGTAGATTCATCGCCTGGAGACACACACACTGAATGCATCGACTAAGGCCGCTCGTGTGTTCCTTGAGGCCTCAAACTGCATCGAATTCCGAAGAAGTGGTCGCCCAAACGGTCGTGCGAGGGCTGTGGGCGAATATCTACCACATAAATGGTTTCTTTGCCCAACGTGCTATGCTTGACTCGAGATAGTTGGTGCCGGGTAGGTGCCTTGGCTATTGGAGGGAACGGCTTGATTGAAGTTCCTTTGAGAGTTTTGGTTTGAGAAAGCAACAGCCAGGTAATAGCCCTTTCCGGCGGCGGTCCGGTCTAGAATCCGCGGTCCATCTGGGGAGTCCCCAGAACAGTACAGTGTGATGGAAACGAACGATAGCAATTGAGTCGTGGATTCGTGGTTAATGGGTTGAGAACTTTGAGAGGGGGGGCATCGCCTGGGCTCTCTCCTTGTGGACCAATAGAATGCCAGTACCGAGTACGTACCGGAGTCATGATTTGGTTGGACAAAGACGACCCACCGTGGCGGGCCTCGCACGTGCATTTGCTTATCTTATCTCGTATGATATAAGCAGATACCTACGTACCGGAGCAGATAACGCACCTCAGGTTCAAGGGACGGGAAGGAGCAGACAGCAAAGTACGTGTTCGTACAATAGTTAGACCCGAAGGAGAACTCGACGACTGGCACGGCATTCTCTTCCAAACCACAACGCACATCTACAAAGCTGCCTCGCCTCATCTGATTCTCTTATGCCATCGAGTCAGCCTCACCACATCGCTGTGCAAATTTCCAACGATTTTCACTCTGTGTCCAACAGGCAGAGGGCAACGACAAGCAAAACTGTAATTTGACAAGCAACAGCCCGCGCACAAAGAGAACAATGCCAAAATCACAAGCGCAAACTACCAATGCTCCCCCGGAATGGGGACACCCCGGCTCCCAACGTCTCCTTAACGGCTAATAGGGCCGCCATCGGGCACCCAAGTCGCTTCGACAGTGGAGAATTACAATTCTCCCAAGGCCCCAGAGTCCAAGGGCCCCTCTCACACATCCACCACGCCTCACGATTCGCGACTCTGATAGCCCACACCGGGACGCCTTATCACTGCCGCAGTGCCCCAGACCAGGCGGCGGCTGGTTGGGCAATGGGCACACAGCGTCTAGAGACTAGAGTGCAGACCGCACCAATATTTGGTACCCGACGTCATCGAGCAGGGTGGCGGTCAACTCGAACCCCCACAGAGACAAAGCTGAGCAAGGCATGTTGGCGCAGCGAGTCGCAGCACAAGCACAGTGACGGCAGAGAAGCCCGCCAGTTTCCAACTGTGTTCTGCGGAAGAGGAAGCGCAAGGCAAGGGCCGAGGCGGGAGCGAACGCTATGCCAAAGGGCAGACGAGACGAAAGGACGAGACACTTGACAGCGAAGAAAGAGTTTGGAAGTTTCCAACGTCGGCCCATCCCACTGTTACAACTTACGCCGCCCGGACGACAATTAACCTCTTTTCCCACCCACCCATCCGACTGTCTGGCGTCCCCCATCCTCTCCATTTCCCGTCGATCCGTTCAAGCCCAACGACGGGACCGCGGTCCATGGACGATGGAACACCCAGCGGGCTCCATGGCTCCGTACGGGATCCCGCTGTGCGCAGGCTGGTAGATCTGGCCCGGAATGGAGTCCTGGGCTCACTCCTGGCTGCGCTTTTCCAAACAGGCGCCCCGTCGATGGCTGCCCAAGCGGCGACGTCAGGTTCGAGAGGGCACAAAAGCGGACTGGGCCACTAAGGCTAAAGGCCGCGTTGGACCGGGTCTGGAATGGTCAGATGGGCAGAACCGCAGCGAAAAGCAACGACGCAGGCCTCGGGAAGGGCTTTTTACAAGGAGTAGCCTTGTTGCCACAGCCCTCTCGTCTCCCGCCAGGTTTGGACGACGGGTGCGATGACCGATACGGCACTGATGGCCCTCGTTAAGGACCGACAATCACTGTCGCTCCTCGCGCAAAATGCCATGCTGCGGTCAATAGCTTGTCCAACGACGAAACAGGCTTTGGATACCGAGTTCGAATGCACTTTTGCATCCCTATTGGTGTTTCTGGCATCATGCGGGAGAGCTGCGGGCCATCAGTCCGTCGCATAACTAACAGCGGCCATCTTCTCCTTACCAGACCGTTGGACCATCCAGAGAAGGCCAGGCAAGCTGGGATCATCGCTCAAGCAGCATCGCCAACACCACCATCTTCCTCGTTCAGTCTGACGAACCAAGCCAACCCTGTCCTGGCTTCCGTCCGTCGTTCCAAGAAGCCTGCTTTTCCACTCCACCACAAATCTCCGTGTCGTGTCCAAGACTTAAACTACAAAACCGCCTCGTTTTTTCCCAGCCACCACCTTTTCGTCTGTCTGTTCTCTTTTCGCAAGGACCCTTAAAAACGACACCACTCACGGCTTGGACCAGTGCGAGTGCCCGTATCACATTTCGCAGCTCCGGTGGTTCAGCAAGAACAGTCAGCTTCAGGATCGTTGTTGGGGAGTGTCGAGTAGACGGAGGACCATTATCGGGTCTACTGTCACAGGCCCATTTTCGTGAGGTCAGCTGGTAGAGTTCCAGGTTGCTTCCTGGCTTCACATTGCCTTCTCATAGGCCGTTTACCACCCACGCCTACCACCACACACGACACACACAAGAGAGTCTAGAACACCGAGTCCAGTCACTTGTCGAGTTCAGTCCGGCTTTCCATCGCATCACCCGTCTTCGCCCACTACCATACACCAGTCAGCCAAACCACGAAGAGGGGTTTATCGCTTGCCTCACTCACTCACCCACTCACTCACTCACTCACCATACATTGTCAGTGTTACAGTGTCACATACCAGTCTCATAAACCCTGGAAGAAGCCACTCGCACGCCACTCTAACGCAGGGCGGCGCCGCTACTCCATTATCCAATCCAAATTCCAAAATAGCCCACTGGACCCAAGGCGGGTCAACGGCCTTCACCGACACTACCGGCGCTATTGGCCTGGGTTCGCATACCTTACGTTAGGGGGCCAGCCATCCCACCACTCACTCGCTCGCTCTCTGCTGCGACACTGGATCACACACATTATTCCCGCTTTTCCCCTCTTTCTTCGCTCTCTTCTGGCCCTCTCTCCCTAGAGGTGTCGTCATCGCCCTGATTCTCGACTCTCGCAATACGAGCGACTTCTCTCGAGATTCACAACCACGAACTTCTGTCATCACCCGATCATTCCACAACTTTCCGGGAACAACGCATCACCTGTGACATCCCGGATCCCTAATTTCACGACCACCGCTATTTTTCTGCAATATTTTGTGATACCCGAGATCGACTTTATTTTCACTTCCAACCACACATACGTTAACCATCAACCAAAATGGCCGGCCGTGCTGAGCGCTGGGACCGCGACCGCTTCATGCAAGAACGGGAGCGAGACCGCTATCCAGATGATCGTCGCTATCCCGACGAACGAAGCAGATTCGAGGAAAGAAGCCGCTTCGAGGAACGTGATGACTATCGCCCACCGCCTCGCCGCGGCAGAGATCATTCCGATGAGCGCTTCGACCGTGGCCCATTTGACCGCGGACATCGCGGCGGATACGAAGAGGATGTTGTAAGAGACCGCCGCTACGTCGAAGAAGACCGTTATGGTCCTCGTCGCGGAGAACCTTTGGACCGGGAGTTTGATCGTCGTCTTTTCTTCGAAAGAGAGCAACGAGAAGTACGTGAAGCCTCGCCACCACGCCGCCCGACCATGCTCCGTCGTCAGTCTTCCCTCGACACCTTTGACCGTCGCCCCCTCCGCTTTTATGAGCGTGAGGAATATCCCCCGCCAGCCCGCCGAGAAGATGTTCGCCCTCGCGACGATTACCGGGCCCCTCCATACGTTCCAATCCCTCTGCCCCGCACCCGCCAGCTGGGCCCCGCACCATCTCAACGATACGACGAGATCCAGATCGCCGAACCAGGCTACTACGGCGACGAGGAGTTCCGCGGCATGCCTGAGCGGGTGAAGGAGCGTGAGGTCGTTACTTCACGCCGGCGTAGAGACCGCAGCCGAGAGTCTAGGGTGTCAAGGTCAACCAGAAAGAGTTCGCACCGAAGCAGCTCACGATCAAGCAGCACCTCCAGCAGGTCGACCAGCACTACCACCAAGACCGCGACGACTGTTCGCAGCTCCTACCCGAAGAAGGGCAAGACCCGCATCCCACAGCGCCTGGTTTCCAAGCGCGCGCTCATCGACCTGGAATATCCTTACATTGAAGAGGCAAGTTTCGCTTCAATCGAGTGCGCCAACTTTGAACTAACACATTTATTTCCCAGGGTAACACCATCATTGTTCTTAAGGCTCTCGGCCAGGACAACATCGATGAACTCCTGAAGCTCAGCGAGGAGTACAAGCAGAGTAAGTGATTCCATGTGCCTTGATCCATCTGACTGCAGCTGACATGATGCCAGGTGAATTGGAGATTGCCGCAGCTCGATCATCGGCTGGCAAGCATGAAGAACGACACGAGGAGATTTACACCATCCCTCCGCCGGTTGCTGCCCTTCCTCCGCCGCCTCCGACTGTCATCCATGTCCCTCCTCCTCCACCGGCACCTGCTTCAGTGGCGCCGCCTCCCGCGCCCCCAACCGTCGTTTCTGCTCACCCTCCTGCTCCCCCATCCGTCTACTATGAGGCGCCTCCTCCGCCACCTCCCGCTCCCGTTCACGAGGTGGTCAACAAGACTACCATCATCCGCGATGTCTCTCCTGCTCGCAGCTCCACATCCTACACAACATCGACGACCGCAACACCAGTCGTATACGAGCGCCGCGAGTACAGCGAAGAGGTCCCTATCGGACCCATGGCGGTCGCTGAGCGTCGCCGTAGCCGGTCTCGGTCTCGCAAGAATATCAGATCCGAGATCAAGGCTCTTGAGGCTGAGCTTCACGAGCGCAAGCACGGAAGGAGCCGTGAACTCGTCCGTGCTGAACAGATGCCCGATGGCGCTGTAGTCCTCTTCGAGGAGAAGGTCGAGAAGGTCGAGGAGCCGCGGCGTGGAGTGCGGATTGAGAAGGACAAGAAAGGTAGGATGGCCATCAGCGTACCAAAGTACTACTAAGGTACGCTTCGTCACCGTCTCGTCAAGTCAGAGCCCAGGCTAACGCGAGAGTTTTCAGGTCCTCCTCCTGGAATCATGCGCGCTATGCTGGCAACTCTCACATAAGTTACCTGTGCCGGCCAGGCGCATGACTTGTTATTCAGTATGAGATTGAATGTACAGAAGGCAATTTACAGACCTCGTACACTACGAGACGGACTTTGTTGCATTGTTTATCAGCAGGGAATTGGATTGTTCAGGACGATTTTACCATTATTATTCCCCAATAGAAAAAAAAGGAACTTCGTTGGCTTTGCAATCCCGGGAAGGGATTTGCATACATGTATGGATGGGATTAGTAACCCTATAGTTTCACATGCCCCAACGCAGGTTTTGGGGCATGGTTTGTCGCCTCTAGGTACTGGACGATTTACCGGTATGCTCTTTTTGCTTAAGGTAGATGGCGCAGGTTACGAATTTACGACTTCTATTTTTTTGACGTTGGGATATCATCCATGTTATATTATCCCCTTTTGAATTGTATCCCATCATGGGTAACCAACCTATTGATTTATGCACGTACAGGCAAATAGCGCTTGAAGTTTGGCCTGACAAGAGCCTAGTCCATCCGGAGGTTATTGACACGTCGGCGCCGTACCTGAGATACAGTTACCGAGGCAATTGAGAACAGCACATTCACCACGGCATGAACCTTTAGTCGTCGTCTCGTAAGCTGTGTTTCGGCCCCGGTGGCAGCTCGGAAGTAGTTTTCCCTTTGCCAAAGTATCGAAAGAAGAGCCCCATCATGATAATGAGCAGTCAGTTGGAGCTTGATGACTGAAGTAAGTTGAAGACAGGGTGACGCGTACGCTCAGCTCGTAAAGGGTTCCCTCCAATCCCATTCTTACGAGGATGGCGTTTTCCAGCCCTGTCGAAACAGGTCGTGATACGCTCGAGACGTAAGAAGGTTGGTCCATTGTTAATCTAACGCGTCGTCACCCGCATCATGGCTGAGTTTCTCTACTGTAAGGAGCGAGTCAAGATCTCCATGGCGACTATGTCGGACATGACTATGAAGATTATCGGTGTATGGGGAGAACGCGGAAGCGCGGCTTACCCCCTGTCGATCTCGTATGCTTACTTTTAACGCCGGCTCGGCATCTACGTAGGGCCCGCATGTTTAGACGTCGAAGGCTCTAAACTCCCCGAACTATATTTTCCCCGAGGAAACTGGGAGCGGATTGGGAAATTGAACCCCGAGCACTGCCTCAACACCAACCTCTGATGTTGTTATTGATACAGGGCGTTGTAACAGAAACACCATGAATAGCTCAGCCAGCGCGTATCAATGGAGTCCGAAATCTCATCATGGCTTTCTATAAAGCGAACGGTGGATCTTGTATTTGCACGAGGAAGGTCAAAACTAGCGGACACAGTTGTGATTGATCAAGTTTTATTCAGAATAATTACAGGAGAGGAAAGCATTAATGCGACAATGGACCAACAGCCTTCCAAGTATCCTTACGACCCATCTCTCGCTGCAGCAGTGACCTTTGCCGTGCTGTTCGGTATTAGTGGTGTAGTACATTCCTTTCAGCTCAAGCGGGCGAAGACTTGGTACTGGATCGCCTTTTTCATCGGTGTCAACTGTAAGAGGCCACTGAAACCCGTTGATTACTTGAAGCCTGACCACTGATGACCTGCTGAATAGTTGAAAGCATTGGATACGGGAGTCGAGCAATGAACGCATCCGAAACACCGAATTATTCACAGGTCCCGTTCATCATCCAGACTCTTCTACCGTTGCTTGCCCCGGCACTGTACGCAGCCTCGATCTACATGCTCCTAGGTCGTATTATCGACTCGTTGGAAGCGGGCCATCTATCAATTATTCCCGTCGGATGGATGACAAAGATCTTTGTGTTCGGAGACGTATTCTCGTTCGCCTTCCAGTGCATTGGTAAGCCCAGTGTCCAATCGCCGTCACCTGTGATGTTGACGGAAAGACTGACTCATTCCCTGAATAGGCGGAGCTATCCTCTCCGGTGCAAGTGACAAAGACGGACTCGACCGTGGCCAAAACATCATCCTCGTAGGTCTCGGCATTCAAATCCTCTTCTTCGCAGCCTTCATCGTCACCATCTCCGTCTTCCACTATCGAATCATTAACCACCCGACGACAACGAGCATGAACGGGCGGCGACCGTGGAGGCAGTTCATCATGGTCCTCTACGCTACCTCGTTCCTTATTCTGGTGCGGTCGATTTTCCGAGTGGCTGAGTTTGCTGAGGGACGGGACGGCGTGCTTCAGACTACAGAGGTGTATTTGTATTGTCTCGACACATCGCTCATGTTCCTCTGCGCTGCAGCTTTCAATGTGTGGTTTCCGGGTCGTATTGTTTCGCCTATTACTTTTAAGGATGAGGAGAGGTTTCCTCTTGGGGCTGTATCGAACCAGGAGGATGATGGGGCGTTTAGGGTTCGAAGGTAGACTGCAGTCTCAAGCCTGGAGCTTTTGACAATGCAGGTCAATATGGATAATCTGTCGTTTGGCTAGCACATTGTATGCGAGTATCTGATGGGTAAAAGATGTGAGAGCGTAGGCGTACGTGTCCTAGTTAAAACCTTTAGATGTCCAGCGTAGATGTAAGCAAGGATGTCTGAAGTCAACTAATCACCGGACGGGCTTTTCTTAACATCTAAAGCTGGGCCTTGTTTTCGCAAAATCTCAATGACTTTTCCTTGGAGCCATCGACGCGGACCATTTGCATAATCGTACTTTCCGCCACTTAGTTCAATTTCTTCAGCGTATATAAGCCTCCATGCCTTTTGGGAAGATCCCCGTCCAATCCGTTGAACAAGAGCGCCAGAGGTGATGATTTCTATGCCATATATTGCTGTCCGCCATTACTAGGGCTAGAACGTCGGTTCGCCAGCATCAGAGCGCAGAATGTCCATTGAAGCACTAGGAGCGCAATTGGATTTACGACCCAGAGCCAATGAATGGAGACACATGTGTCGAAGATAAGGGTCACACCCACTACCGCTCTCAGGCCTGAATAAAGTTCTGGTATTCGCTTGTCGTCGAGGCCGTCGTATGGTGTGTTGCGCATGCCCGCAGTCATCGAACTTGCCAAGCCGCGGGCCAAATTCTCGACCTTGGAGATATTGCTAGCGGCTTGCGCGTAGACTTGTTTCAACCAGGTTGGGCCCGTTATTACTCCGGGTCTACCATCCAACATGCTGTGTGTGACGTTGTTCTGCAAGATGTCCTGCAACGTGGAGGTAATCGCTCGCCAGGAGATTGCGTCTATTCGCCATACACATTCCGGCGGTACAAATTTCCAGATCACGTTGTTCCTCCTGCCAAAAGTCTTGTCTCCTTCGCGTTCAGAAAGACGGCTCGTAGGCGAAAGCTGGAATGGACCACCGTCCACTGACTCAACTCGAACTGTTTGAGGCGCCCAGCGCTCTCTTGCCGTACACGACATTTTCTTGCCATTGACTAGGCTAGAGTTGGCCACAAGGGTCCACTCGTCATGCCATGTCAGAATCTCGTTCGAATCTGGATGTTCTACTTCGAGATAGACTCCATCTTGGACCTTGCTATGGTAACGCTTGACGCATGCATATAGCCTGCATCGAACGTCAGGTGCTGAAGTTTTTACCTCATCTGCGCAGGTGTCAACCAGATGGTTACAGGGGGGATCAATTACCGTCAAAACATGGTAACTATAAAAGGGTCTAAATGACACTTTGTCTTTATCAAAGATTCCCGGTGTGGTCAAGAGCGACAATTTCGAACTGGTCCATGGACTAGAAACTTCCGGAATCAATGATGGCACGGTGTAATTGTAATCGTAAGACAACTGCTATGCGTAGAAAAGGGCATCTGGACCCTCTTGAACTTTGATGACTCGGTCCGTAATGTCTTGACAGGAGTGACAAATGGCTAAAGATGAGAAGTGACTGCCGTTGTCCCCGTTCCCAAAGGTGCAGTTGCCCGTAGCGCATTTGACGTTGGTCAAGGAAGCCAACTCTTGAGGATCAGCAAGTCCCTTTACGATGTCGGAGTCCATCGGACCAGCTGTGTAGTGATTCGCTCTCGGTATCTCTGCTATGATGCCGTTGACAGAATCTGCGGCACGACTGCATCCCTTGTGGTCGAACATGGCTTGAGAAATGGGATCGATGGCGAGAGCGGCTATGGTGATCAGGGCACCAAGCCCTGCAAAATATCTTCGAGAAAGATTAGCAGGTTGGCCAAGATATGATAGAAAGCTTGGTACAAGAGCTCACGGTCTTTGTGCTTGTGGTATTTCTTCATGATCAGTATCAAGGAGCCCCATGGACCACGTGTAGCATCGTCGAAAGCAACCACATCAGCTAGCTTCTGTGGGCGTTGAAACCAATCCCACTTCAGCTGACCCAGGCCTGATTTCCACCCTCTTGTCAGCACCAAAAGAATGTTTCAATGACCTGGAAGAACCACCACTATGACGCACCTTCGGCAACGGGAATTATAAGAGATGCCTTGTAAACTTCGGTAAAGGTAGCTACCAAGGTATTGACCGACATCACACCTAGCCACTTGGGCAAGGGCTTGCTCTGATGGAGCGCTAATATTATGATGATTGCTAGCACGCAACCGAGAGCGAGCAAACTACTCAATATCTCCAGCCGCCATATTTGCCATATGGTCTCGTTCGTGTCGGTGGCTTGTTGGCTTGACTCGTTTGTGCCCTGCTCATTCTTTTCGAGTCGCTGCATGTGCGAATATTGCGTCATCGTACTTTCAGTTGAGTATAAAGGCCTTTTGTCCTATCGGGGAATGGAGCCCTTCATCCTCACAACTTGTCGCGGCACGCTCTACGGCAGTCGATGAGCTTGAATGCATGGAACCCTCCACTCATATGCTTCCGTAGTCAGCAAACTGCTACGAAGTTCGTTGGATTTTGTATCGGCGCTGTCATAGAAAGCTCTAAGGGAAAGATCACGACGGTCATTTTGAACGTGGAAAGAAGATGCGTCGTTGGCGTCATGGTGTGGTGTTTGATCCATCCTCGTCCGTGTTGCGTGGACCTTCAATGTCTACAGATGGTCGGATTCTTTTCTTCATGGACCTCTACCATCTGCGGCTACTTTGCTTGCGAGGGCTCGTTCTAATATAGTACCGCCTTGCTATGTCCGCCCTTGGGTACCATTTCGCGTTATTGCCTCTCTTGTCTGCCTTGTGCTACTATCTTCGTGTTTTCAACAGACTAATTGCTGACTGTCGAAGATCAAGGTGTTTTATTGGTTGTGATTGAAAAGGGCGCATGTCTAAGGTGATGTCTGTGATGGCGGCCCCGTACAACGTACGAATCTTAAGGCCAAGCAAGCATCGTCAGGCTGTTAAAGACAAGACAATATGAGCTCAGCCAACGATATTACAATGATCTATTTCATTTTTGAACTATTGACAGTTCTTCCTTCCTGTATCCAGTGTCTCATTCCAGCCTTGATCGTGTTCCGAGGTACATTGCACAGCGCAGGAAGAGCTTCCCTTGACATTGCCTCCTTGGCAGTAACAGTAGTCTCTTATGGATGGTAAATACAACAAGACTATGAGAGTCCCGTCGTGTCGGCATGCAAGACGAACGCAAAGATATTGAACTCGCGACTACGATGATGGATCCGGTCGTACCTCAAATGAAGAGATCGCGTATTGTGAAGAGGCCTGGCGCGCGGCCCGCCCCGAAGCACTCGAAATACCACCTGAGAAGCCCAGATTCAAGGCCAAGCCAGAGATATAATTAGCTTATACACACATCAATTTGCCAGCCTTTAAACAAAACTTTCCTGAGTTGTGCAAATGATCTCAACCGGTAGGACTTATGAGGTGGTCCACCAGCACGTTACCATTTCGGGCGTCTCGCTTCTTATAAGAACCCGGGGACCCGTATTTCGCTCCTTATTAAGAGCCGAAAACCCAGGGTGCTCTGTGCTCTGTGCCCGCACAACACGGGCACCATCCGGAATCGCATACAGGATACTCGCTTTCGTTGCTTGGGATACTGACATTGTTGCCTAGATGATGCAAATTCTCTCGTTTATAACAGCTTGGTTGCATGGCTTGACTGCGATAAATACTGTGCTCTCTCAGTAGAATAGATAGATCTATCTGATCACTCATTGTGCGTTGAGGCTAGACGGCATACATCGTCACACGCACCCCTCGCAACTACGGGCATGTTCTCGCGCTCTCTTCAGCCCGGACCAGTCAACCGTCTGAACCACGTTTCTTCATAAACCATATGGTCAAATATGTTGTAGGTACCCCTGCGACAAGTTCTACACGCTTGCCATAGGCTTCGACAACATACTCAAAGACTTCTCAGGAAGCGTCATCGACTGAGCTGGAAGACATCGATTTCCTACTTGGGAAACCTTATCGCGTCTCGAATCAATCCACAGACATATTACAGTAATGGGAATGAGGCAAATAAGACGCCTGGAACCATTCGCCAAGCATGTTGTAAGTTAAGTTGAAGTGTCAAATTTCGAACACGTTCGGTAGTGCGAACTGACTTTTCCGAAATCTTAGCTCCGAGTGGCCTTTAGAGTTGAGATTACTGCCTGATAGGCACGCTACAATAACCGTACGATTCAGTTGATTGCGTACGCTCCCGCTATACGACGGTGCCTGTGGCTTAGTGCCCAGTGCTCAGCCTGGGCCTGTGCCACTAGTAGATCCCTGCTGACAATGCCATAAAGGGATGGACGCCCTACACTCTTTAAAGAATGCATAAAATCCCGTCTAGGGACGAGCTTAAAGAATGGTGACATTCTCTGTCCCACCTTTCTTTTCGCGATGCTCTGGAGGCCGCCGATGCCATCGATCGATAAGCTGCTTACATCTACTCGTCTGACAGCTTTGGGTAGTAAATTGTGCTATTTTGTTGTTCAAAGCCCAGGATGGAGTCGGTAGCTGCTGAGGCACCGCCGATTCCACGCAAGCCAGCATGCGTTCTTTGCAAATCGCGGAAAGTCAAGTGCGATCGCGAGAGCCCGGCGTGCGGAGGCTGCGTCAAGGTTCGTGATCCTTGAAAGCACTCTCCCCTCAGAGACACTTGCTTCAAGATCTAACAGTAAGTCATTGGTAATTCAGCTAGGCGCAGAGTGTGTACCACGCGAAAACTCAAAGACACGGAACCGGAAGAAGCCCAATGTTGAACTTCAACGAAGACTGGCGCGATGCGAGGAACTACTCCAGCAGTTCGTGGCCGCAGAAAAGCGCGAGAAGAGTAGCGATGGTACTCGTACGGAGCCTAGTCCGAAAAGCGATACAAGTACAAAGATTGAGGATCAGGATCGGAGCCGGGATCGCGAAATGCAAGCGCTCGAGAACTCTCTTGGGAAGCTCGTTATCGACAAAGGGTCTGTCAGGTTTACTGATAGCACCCCTTGGGCCACGGTATTCGATGAGGTAAATGCCCTGTCAACGGCCCCTTGACGACAGCTTCTTTCGCCAGCCAGATATCTGACAATCTATTTGCCTCCATGTAGTTGCAAGCCATGAGAGCAATCGTGGAGGACGCCGACAGTCCTGCGAGCCTATCGAGCCTACCGGAAACGACGACGATTCAACAACCGTCCATTGCGAATGAGGCAAACGTCATGGACGTCAGAGAGCCCAGTGCCCGCAACCCGCAACATCTGCATCCGCCTTCGAGTCATGCCATGCTGCTATGGCGGATGTTTGTAGATCGAGTCAACCCAATAACGAAATTCATTCACGTGCCGTCCACACAACGTCATCTGGTCCAGGCCACGGCCACTCCGCCGTCTTTGCCGCGAGACATGGAAGTATTGTTCTTCTCGATCTATGCGTGTGCTGTTGGTTCGATGAGGCCAGAAGAATGCACGAGGTTACTGGGTCAGTCAAAAATAGAGCTATTGAATCGGTTCTCAAGGACCTTGCGAAAGGGGCTGTATCGTGCGCGCTTCTTGGAGAAGCCCACTTTCGTGCTATTGCAAGCACTCGTACTTCAACTGGTACTGAAAACCTCACGAATTGTTTTGGACCTCCAAAGTGTCGCACAAATTCATGCCATCTCACAAGGTTGAACACCTAGCTAAGTCAAGTTTCTAACAGGTTGTGATTCCGGATCGAGAGAGTGCTCACGCGAATTGGGTCATGAGCGGCGTCTGTATTCGGAGTGCCCAACGTCTAGGGCTACACCGAGATGGCTCACAACTGGGAATTTCCCCCTTCCAAACAGAGCTACGAAGACGCGTCTGGTGGAATATTGTGCTACTCGATTTTCGATTCGCCATGGCCTCTGGATTCAACCCAACTCCGTTGTCACGTGCTTGCAGCTGCAAAATGCCCACCAATATCAACGACGCCGATTTCGATGTCGATACCGCGACTCCCCTCGAAAATAGAGACGGCCCGACTGAGATGATTGTCTCTTTGGTGGTTTGCAGCTTGTCGCGATGTCTCACTCAGCGAACCAATTTGAGCCATGCCATGTTCGTCGTCGAAAAGAGTGACGTGTCAGACGAGCTCAGTCGACTTCACAGTATCGAGCTGGAGAAGTTCGTCGTGAACTTTGAAGAGTTTTTAGAGGATATCGTAAAGCGTTATTGCGATCCGAGTGCGGGGGATCTGCATGTATTGGCTTTACAGCTAAAAGCAGCCATGGTCGACAAGATTCGAATCATGGCATGCAAGCCCAAGGGGGCTGTAGAGCCACCGCCTGAGGCGAAAGGGGACATCCTGTTTCGTGTTTCACTCGAGGCGGCTGAACACGTTGCGAACCATCTTCAGGTGATGGAGGGTTGGAACTTTGTGTGGTACGTCCTTCAGTATCTCGAGTACGACTTGTTCCTCCACATGATCGGTCGACTGTGTCTCCAGTCAACCGGCGACTTGGTCGATCGAGCATGGAAGGTGCTGCCCATCATATACCAATACCAGGAAAACTATTTCGAAATGTCGGTTCACCCATATGCCGTCGCAGGAGCGGTTCTTGTTAGGGCCTGGAGACACAGGCAGGAAAGCTTGCTCTCCCAATTGGGCTACCTGCCCCCGACCCCAGATTATGTTCAAAGAGTTGAACAGTGTTTGGCGGCCAATGGCTCAGTTGGCAGTTCCCCTCCCGAGCTGATGCCTCCTTCAGGGAGGGCTGCGCCAGAGCATACCGGGTGGGAGGAATCAGAATGGGGATGGAATCCGCCCGGGTTCGGCATTGAAACCTACGATCTTGAGTATATAGTAGAAGAAGACTCATTGGCGTGGCCTCCGCCTCAGTAGGGACATGGGTGGAAGAACCTGAGTATCAGTTGGGAAGGGCTTTTGAGAAGGAAGAAGGGCAGAGCCAGAGAAAACGTCTGACGGTCTTGAGCTCTCAGTTGCTAAGAGAAAAGAGGAAGCATGATACTTGGAAGTTACTTATGTATAGAGTCAGCATCACTAATGAATAGAAGAAACTCCTTCATCGTTCAATCGCATGCCTTCAATTACTCGGAAACCTCACTCAGCGACCTTTCTTCACACCCTGTCCAGCCTCGCAACTCGCCCACAGTGCTATTGAGGCTCGGGTAACCTGCATATGCCAACAGGGAAGCCGTTACTAACGCACGGCCAGACGAACGATGAGTTGAGTCGCATTGTCGTTGAGCAAGAAGCCGAATATAATGTCCTTGGTCAGGGTATCATGATTTGGGTAGTGCTGTAACTTCGTCGCACCATCCTAGCGAAGCGGAGGGACTTCCTCCGCGCACGTGATATCCAATCTCTTAATCCTTGTCTCGTCCGGTCTCAGGCCGGCCCACCTTCACTCTATTTGTCTTCGATCTCCACACTTTGATCGACTCGTGGCGGTTTTTGGATGAACGGGAAGAACTCGATGACCCCTGATTACCTCGCTAGACAAGACTTTGAGCCTCAACGTGACGAGCACGCAGCTGCCGTGCCGATTGTCCGGCGAGCCTTTAGGGAACCGTCCTATACTGCCGCTTCGGGTACATCGGCAGAGGTCAATCAAGACTTCAAGCTCGGACAGCGAGGAAGAAGAGACTATGCCCCGCCCATGGAGCAATCCGAGGACCCGGGGGCCTGGGGGTCCCAAGCTTTTTCGCTCCCTTCCGTTAATTGAGGGGCTCCGGGGGCTTAATGGGTCTGGTAAGGTGTAGATTAATTGTCAAACCCCCTTCGCAGAGCGAGTTTTCCGTCATGACGGGTACGAAAGCGACCGTGTTTATATAGGTGTTGCTGGGTTCCCGTCGATCGTTCATGTTGATCTACCGCATCCCCGCCTGTCTTTCCATTCTTCCCGACCAAGTCGTTCGTTTTTGAAAACACACTCTTTACTTGATAGGTGCAGGACACAATGAAGTCACGGATCTTGACGACCGGCCTCTTGGCTGCTGGGGCGAGCGCTCTTGAGAAGCGTGCCTGTACCGCAACGGCGGAGTGGCCTGGGTTTGCGAATGTCAAGCACGCTTTCGTCTTGTAAGTCTGCAACACTTCTGCGCTCTGTCCTACATACACGCTAACAATTACCAGCGGCGACTCGTACTCCCAGACAGGCACGATACTTGGCGGCCTCGAATTAGTGTCATCCAGCTAACAGATCACAGGCTTCAACACCTCCCTAGAAGCTCCTAACCCCGCCAATCCCCTTGGGAACCCTTCCTACCCGGGTTGGACCTCCTGCAACGGCCCCAACTGGGTCGACTACCTCACCGTCAAGCACAACGCATCCCTCCTGTACACCTACAACCTCGCCTACGGCGGCGCCACTGTCGACGCCGACCTCGTCAAACCCTACGCCGATACGGTACTCACCCTCAAGGACCAGGTCCAGACGCTCTTCAGCAATGCCTACGCCGCAAAGACAGCGCCGGCCTGGACGGGCGCGGACTCAGTATTCGCCTTCTGGATCGGCGTCAACGATATCGGCAACTCGTACTGGAACGGAGCCGATGCTACCTCTGCGCTCAACACCAAGATCGTGGACGTCTACCAGGGTCTGGCCAAAGAGCTGTACGAGGCGGGCGCGAGGAACTTTGTGTGGTTGACGACGCCGCCTGTCGACCGGACGCCGATGCTCCTTGCCGAGAACGCGGACGCGCAGAAGCTCTGCAAAGATGACGTTGCTGATTTCAACGGCAGGGTTAACGCCATGGCGAAGAATGTCACGACGTGGGAGGGCGCAAACGCGTGGGTCGTTGATGCCAACGGGGTATTCAACGGTGTGCTTGATAACGTGGCCAAGTTTGATGCTACCAAGGGGTACAAGAACACTACTGGATACTGTGACGCGTACAAGGAGTAAGTCACCCTCGAATTCGAAGAGCCTGCACGTAGAAGCTAACCTTTGAACAGCGGTACGACTGCTCAGGACACCCTCATTGACAGCTGCACCTACCCAGTCAACGAGTACTTCTGGCTCAACACGCTGCATCCTACTTACCCCATCCACGATGCGGTTGCCGAGACCGTTGCTTCGGCTCTGGAGGCTGGGCCGAATGTGTGCTAAGGTAGTTGGCGGAGCTGCTGGGTGGTCTGGAAATATCTTCTTGTATTTACTTTCAAGTTCCGAATCTATGTACAAACTAAGACGAGTTACTGCCATTCGTCATCGCACTTTTCAGTGGTGCGGATGATGCCTCGAGCTGCATCTTGCATCTTCCTAGGCTAGTTGTCTGGGCGAAATGTTGCTATCCCCCGGAGAGGAGTGCGTGTGAGGTCAGATAAGTGAATGTACGAAACCGTCTCTACACCGTTGTGGTATTCGTGCAGAGAACGTCGTCTAATGGTTGGAAATATCAAGGCGACTCGAAGTCATACTCTACCTCACATAGCATCAGTCATTCCACGTCACGTTGCCCGAGAGGTTCTCACATTCGCTGCAGCAGGCCCCGTTTGCCAAAATGGTTACCCACAGAGGAAAAGCAAGCCTATCACATTTGTCATGTTCGTTACAACGAGGCTTTGCCAGGGGCGGAGCCCGTTGCCAAGGCGCTACGGCTTAACAGGCTGCAGCATTTACTGCCCGACCATGATGCCCTCAAGTTCGGCAAAGGCCTGGACAAGTGGAATAAACGCAGTGATAAGTACACTTTGGTGATCATTCATCTTGCGGACACCAAATATTGTTAGGTGCTCTAGGGCGAGGGACACTACTTTCCACAATCACATCGCAAGGCAGCGTGGCATTCCCTCGTTAACACCGTCTACTATCTTTTTTTGAAAATAAGCAGTTCGTTCAATTACTTATGATGTTACACGGAAGTCAGATAGTCATCATCATCCTGGAGAGTATCAACGCAATGCCATCTGTTGTTGAGACTTTGGGGGCGGCTTCAACCTCGAGCTCACCAGGAGAAGAGGAATTATGCTTGAATTAAGCTAGAAAAGAGGCTTGGCTCTAAGCCTACAGCGCTCTCAGGCTGGTGATTGACCACGAATCAGCCATAAGGAGATGGACAAGGGTAGTCAGGCCTTGCAAGTACTAGTCACCAGTCCAAGTCAGTGCCTGTTCTTTTTCTGCAGCCAACCCCAAGACACCGACTTGTGATACTAGGAGGCTGGGGTCAATATTGCCATCCTTGTAGGTCAAATAACAGCAATTCGCTTGTTGGACTTTCTTGGCTGCGAACATCAGGCTCCTCTGGTTGGTACCGAGCCATGTGTCGCGCCCAGGAGAAGTGGCAGAGTGGAAACCGGGCGCAGTGGGTAAAACTGCAATTGCCCGGGGCTAGTGCGGCACAGCATACGCCAGGCGTCCTTCGCCCGGCCGGGGTGAGACACTTGTACGCGAGAATCCAAAGCGGATGTTGAGCAGGCTATGCTCGTGAGACCGCTCATTTTTGTTTGACGGCTGGCCATACTTAAGTCAGAAGAGAAGAGCAGACTTACTTGTGTAGCCCAGCCCATTGCCCATCCTCTCAACTCAACAAAAACAACAGATTTGATCCAGATATTCACGAGAAACAGACTCAGGTGTTGCTACAGAGAAACGGAACCACAACGCCCTCTCAAACATGAGTCACTATGATACTCAAAATATCGTGGGGATCGTATTCACTGTTGTGAGCGCCCTAGCTGTTGTTGCAGGCTCCGTATTCTTCATTCTCCTTCTCCGAAAGACTTCAAAAAGCTATCATGACCCTACTCGCCGATGGGTGGCCATCACCAAAGCAGCCCTGGGGCTGTGGCTATTGTAAGCACCACAACTCCATCTGTTTGACGGCGGCTAACATTAACATTGTCTCCAGTTCCGAACTCTTCTACGTCATTCTCAACATCATCTCTCTTGCACATGGAAGCACATATTCGTACGACTCCACATTGGCCAAGTTTATCTCATACACCTCGTCCATCCTTTCTTGGTTCTTCGACGTCAGCCAGGCCTTGACTTTCCTGGCACTCTTCTACCTCGCCCGCGCATTCACCCTCCTCCGCGTCGACGAGACGTCAAAACGCTTCCGGATTGGGAAGTCGTTCTCTTTCGGCGCCGTCATCTTGATCCCGGTGCTCAGCTTCACGGCAATGTGCCTCTGGCTGAGTACCAGAGAGGGCTACTATTCTTGGAACTATGATAGCAGCGATTACGAGAGGGTGATGATGAGAAGACTGGTGGCTCAGATTTTCGATCTCATTTGTGGTATCTTCAACCTCTTGTGCGCCATTGGTGCCGTCACATACATTGCCCTGGTCCGCAAGAACGCCCTCAAGGGTCCTTTGCATAAAGTCAGTTCTTGCTTCGTTCTCCGCCGTCCCTCTGTATCAGGCGATGCGGCTGTAAATTGATACTGAGTGCTAACATATGACGGCTAGGCCTCAAATCTTGCGCTCGCAATTAGCATCATTTGGCTTGTCCGTGCAGTCTGGTCGCTCTTTGCTCAGCTTTCCTCGCAATACGGGTACTACTATTACAACTACGACACTTACACTTGGTTCAGCATCGTCTCCCTAGTCGTCGGTATCTTGGGCAGCTTCGCTGTTTTCATCATGCTCTACTTGCTGGCCACTCAGGATAAATACGGCCTCAATAGGCGAGGGGAACTGGTGCAGCCCGCGAAGCTGAATGATGAAGAGGCATCGGGGGCCCATATTACCACTGCCAACAGTGTATATTGATTTGGTCGAGATCAATGGGGGGGAAGATCCGTTCTTGCAAGTAGAGCACAGGGGGCGTGATAGTTACGCCTAGTTTGGTTGGAAATTGGGGACGAGCGAGGAACAGCATGATACCAGATAATGCGTGTTGATACTCGATGCTTCTGACTTACGAATACACGATA